AGGATGCTCACGAACAGGACCGACCCCAAAGTGAGGAGCCAAGCCTCTAACGCTCATCAAGTTCACTTCTTCCCTGGCAAGATGAGATGAAGACCTGAAAAGACAACTAAAAGTAAAAACTTTCTTATCTAGAGCAGAAATTTGTAAAATGTGGGTCACAACCTCATAGAGGGCTGCAAAACTGAATGGGGTGGGGAGTGGGGATCGAGATAAGCTTGGCAACAGTAAAAGGCAACAATCAAAAAGTAATGCAAAATCAAATACATAGTGAATTTGAGGTGTTCCTGGCCGCACTTGCCCGGCTGTACCATGAGACTTTACCACAGCCTTGGTCCTGAACACACAATACTCACTTGGTGCCCAAAATACATCACCAGAGTTAGGTGTCATGCTTCACAATACTATCCGAATCGCTGCCTTCAATAAAAGCTATGTTTGATCAGTATACTTATTTGACATACCTGTATACCTAGGGCTGAGTAAAAATTTCTTGGACAAAAAGGGATCAAGGACAGAGGAAGCTCAAGGAGCCACATCAGTACTATGGATACATTGAGCTTAGCAGATTCCCTTTTGTGAGGGGCTGTCCTGTCCAATGTTGGATATTTAGTGGCACCCCTGGCCTAGTTGACAGTAGTGTCTTCCTGCCCCAGTTGTGACAATCAAAAATGACCCCAGATACTGTCTACTAACTGTTCCCCAGGTAATTGCTGCTGAGTGCTGTCAAGTCAGCTTTGAATTCACTAGCCTCGAGTCAATAGGACAGGGTAGATCTGCTCCTGTGTGTTTCTCAGACTCACTATTTATGGAAGTAGAAAAATCTCATCTTTCTCTCGAGGAGCAGCTGGTGGTTTCAAACTGCTGACCTTGTGGTTAGCAGCCTAACTTTTAAGTTTAATACCATCTTTTATATGAGCGCTGTTGGTGCTGTGAAGTAAGCTTTGGATTGCTAACTTCAAGGTCAGTGGTTCAAATCCACCAACTACTCCAAGAGAGAAAGTTGAGGCTGTCTGCTCTTGTAAAGATTCAGAACTTTAGAAAGTCTATATAGGGTTACTATGAGTCAGAATTGGCTTAATGGCAATTGGCTTAAGGGGTTTTACTACGTAGGCATGTGGTGAAATAGTCTTTACGAAGAGTTACAGTCCAAGAAGTGACAACTAGCAGGAATTATAGTGGTTACACGTTGGGCTGCTAAACCACAAGGTGAGCACAAGTTCAAACAGAGTTATAGTCTTGGAAAACCCACAAGAGGCAGTTCTACCCTGTCCTATGGGACCACTTTGGGTCAGCTCAGACTTGATGGCAGTGAGTTGGTTGGAGGTAGGAACACTGTACTTGGACCCAGGCTTGAGCCCAGTCTAACTCCACATTCAAGACTCATTTCACTATGACAGACAGCATCATGGGTTACCAATTTATCAGCTGCCGTAGAAGAGTGGTTCTCAATGGGGAGTTTGCCCCACCAGTCAACACTTGGCAATATCTGTACACATTTCTGTTGGCCATGTCTGAGAGTAGGAGATATGTGCTACTGGCATCAAGTTGGTTAGAGGCCAGAAATGCTGCTCAACAACCTACACTGTCAGGGACGGCCCCTCACTACAAACACTCTGAGGCCCCAAATGTCAATGGGGCTAAGGTTGAGAAGCCATACCTTAGGGCAGTGGTTCTCAACCTTCCTAATGCCGCGACCCTTTCATACAGTTCCTCATGTTGTGGTGACCCCCAGCCATAAAATTATTTTTGTTGCTACTTCATAACTATAATTTTGCTACTGTTATGAATCGGGAGACCCTGTGAAAGGGCCGTTTGACCCCCAAGGGGGTTGCGAGCCACAGGTTGAGAACCGCTGCCTTAGGGGAACTATCTTCCCAGTATAGTTTGTCAGCAAACTGAAGACTCCCCGTTTGCCTGTGCTCTAATGAATACTTTCCCTGTCTGTCTTTAATGTCCTCTGTTCTAACCGCTTTATCTCTGCTGGTCTGAATGGGCCTGTCCCACCAGAAAGGGACAGGTTGGCTTTTCTGCTCCCTCTCTCACTGACTTCCAAGATGAGAGAAAAGTGTGTTTGTGCTGCACCTGGGTTAGGCGGCGAAAGGCCACGATGCCCTCTCTGAAGCACCACGGTCTTCGTGTTCTTAGATAAACCCCCCTCCTCTTGGGCTTCTGACCAGACAACCCCTACCCACTGCAGCACCTACTGGGGCCAAGATTTAGGCTGCCACCTTAAGGACAGGACAGTCCTCAGTGAGCCAAGATGGACGGTGGGTTTCAGGAGACTTTAAAAGAAAGGAAATAAGTGGGAAAGTAGCACAAGCCCATCAGCAGTCTCTCTTCCTGTTTGATTCACGATTACCCTGTGGATTTGCTAGATATATTCAGACAGTACCTTATACTCTGGAGAACCCTTGGGCATCTTTCTCCCCAATGGAGGATCATAAGCACTGTGAAGCAGGTGAAGGTGGTATTGCCAGATTCCACCTTAGCAGTATGGAGAGGCCTTCTCAACCAGGGGCTTCTAGCCCAGATTAGGGCATTTCAGGGGGTGGGTGGGTACTGCTAACCTGAACACCCTCTAACAAGATAAGACTGACATAGTGGTTGCACCAATGGGCTCAAACATAGGAAGGAGTGTAAGAATGGTGCAGTACTGAGGAGTGTTTCATTCTGCGGTACATAGGGTTGCTATGGGTTGGAACCGCCTCCATGACACCTAACAACAATAAACTGGACACAGACTGATTTTCATTCCCTCTACCAAGATATACACATGCTGATTGACACAAGCATAAGGCTGTTGTCCTTTGAGGGAACTTTTCAAGAAAGGACAAAGGATGTGGCAGAAGACAGAAAAGACTGGGAAGGGACCAATGAGGTAGGTGGTATCTTTTCAAAATGAAACATCCTTCAGTCCTTCACTTGGACCAGACTGGGTCACAATACAATGCCCGCTTTCCCAGGTCCACAAGTGCTGCAGGCGTCACTGTAACTTCTGAAGTCTTGCACATGGCATCTCGGGAAATGCTCATAGAGATCAACCCCCGAAGTGAAATGAGAGTGGAAAGCTTTTCCTGCATTCAGTGAACCTGCTGGACCCCCCACAGATCCCAGCAACCTAGCCCTGCTTTCAACACGACGTTTATCTTACATGTCACTGGATGGTGATGTAGACTTCTGAGACAATATGGAGGGGCGTGGGAGGGAGTTCAGAGGAACCCTGGTGGTGCAATGCTTTAGGGTGGGCTGCTAACTCCAAGGTGGGTGGTTCAAACCCACTAGATGATCCCAAGAAGACTGAGGCCATCTACTTCTGGAAACACTGACAGTCTGGGGAAAACCATAGGAGACAGCTCTACTTTGTCCTACAGTGGTCATTTATGAGTCAGCAGCGAATCAAAGGCAACCGCTTGGGGTTTTTTGTTTGTTCTTTTTTTGAAGGCAATTTGTGCCTGGAGGGGCATATATAGCTGGCACACCAGGTCTTGCATGCTTAGGCACAGGGGCACTGCATATCTAATGAGTAACTCTGCAAGGATAGTTCCTTATTGGAAATGGCTTAGTTTGGGCTCTGAAAGATGGAAACAAGTTCCCTAAGACAGGAGAGAGAAGTCTGGAGAAGGAAGCACAGCGCTGGCGGCCCTAGCCCTGCTCAGCTCCATTCAGGAGTGGAGTGCATCCTAGGATCCGGTTGGCAACTCCACAGGCACCCTGTGCTCGGGAAACCCTCGGCCTGTCAGCAGGCGGAGATGGGCTGAATTAGGGCTAAAGTCCCCAGGGGAAGGGTGGGGGGAGGCACTCTTCCGGGGCACGATGTTGGAGGGGACAGCAAGGGAGCAGAGCTCTCTGGCCTCAGCTCTCGGGTGGCGAAACCCCAATTCCTATAGCAGTTCTACCAACAAGGAAGTACAATGCCCACTGAGCGTATTGGCCACCAAGGCACCCTTACTGCACTGGAGGACCAGATAGGTCCCTTTCCCCAGCGCGGAGAAAGCTCTCGGAGAGTACACCTGTGCCCCATTGGCTCGGAACTCGGCTCCTGAGGGCCGGGCTCGGCACTGCACCGGGTTCCTCCAGCTACCGTCCCCCAGACCCCAGCCCGGGATTCCGTACCAGGTGCGCGCTCCCATCGCCCCCGGGGCCACTGTCAAGCTATGCAAGCTTGGGCAGGGGTCCCCCAGGACCGGGCCGATGGCAATCTGCGCCCCACTACGGTCGGGTCGCGGTCGCTCCAGGGGGTCACGGTGGGCGGCAGGGAGGTCGGCGCTCACGCCCCGGGCCAGGCTGGCCCATCCGCCGCCCGCCCGCAGCACGTGCCAGGCCTCGCCAGCAGCCCCGCTCCGCGGACAAAGTCCGCTCCCGGGGCCACCACAGCTCG